ATATATATATATAGCCTACTTTTCCGTAGGGATGTAATTTAGCATCCCTACGGTTAGTAATATATATATATGCTTTTACAATAGTTCGGAAATAATACTTTTTTTACCTTTTGTACAAACTACTTCAATTACAACTTTCTCATTGTAATGGAAGGTTAGAAATCCTTTATCACAATATTTTCCGGTATTTGTTTTCCAACTTCAAGGCTCTCTGTGCTAGTTTGAGTAATGGGGAATATAAGGTGTTACCGATGTTTCGGAATGTAGAACAATACTTTATGTGTCTTGCAAATTGAAAATATTCACGATTTCTACACATCTAAACTAATATTCATCATGTAGTAATTTCCACATTTTTTCTTTGTGCTCAATATAATGTTCTTGAAGAAATTTAATCTTGTGTCTTCCGTGAAATAAACTTTGCCCAAACGTACAAAATTATTATAAAATGACATTGACACGAATTAACCATGTTGCTGTGATGCAATCACGCTCATTCAAATGAAATCGAAGCAACGGGCCGCTTTTTCGTCTTTTTTCATTATCTTTCTCTAGTATACCGGCGTCTGTCAAACTAAATTCCTTAACAGTGACAGACTAAGGGATAAAGCCTTTATTAAGTATGCAATACATCGCATAAAAACAAACAAACAATTTTAATTTTTACTAACACAATGGCAAAATACCCCAAAATGAGAGCAATTAATTAATGCATTACTAGTAGCCAAATACGTTCACCCTCCAAAATTATGTATGCAAAAGCTTTCCCAAAATAGTTACAGTTTATGACGTCCTGGGTTTCTACATCTTTCTGAAAAAAACTCAATGGAAATTTCTGTTGATGCTAGAGTCATCAAGAACACTCCAAATTTCCAGCATTGTCCACTTTGTGGTTGGAGTGACATTTCCATCAGGCGAATTACTCCCAGGAGACGTAAGTGTGCTTGACAGGAAAACTTAGTGTTTGGATGCTTTAGTACGTATTTCAAAGGTTCAGCAAAAGTACAGTTTAATGACTTACCAATTAAAAATACAATATTATTCGTCATATACCTGGAATAAGCATTTTATGAAACAAATCTCAAACATGCAAAATAAATATTAGCATTGTATAAGTATTTGTTGACTTTAGACACGTACCATTTTTACACTAATGAGGATAATGCGTATTTTCTTTGAATTAGCTCATTATGCCTACTGGATAGCTGATATCTCTAAGACCAACAGGCCATATTAGTCGCGACTCGAACCGCCACTTCTAACATGGGGTTTTGCTTGTGGAATTGGCCACGGATGGGGTTTTCACAAACCACCATTCATGAACACACAAAAACAAGCATTTCTTCATTTTCCTTCCTTTGCCCAAACGAAGAGCCGAGTATGACATACAGCAGACTGTGGAGGCACCTCCCTCCGTCGCTGCCGCACGCACCTTCCTCCCACACGACAAAATATTCCAAGCGCCGCCGAGGGCCTGCGGGCTGCCTGGGCAAGTTGCGCGGCCGCTCTGGCCTGAGGGCCACTGCGCCAGGGAGGCTGGGCGTTCACCGACCTTCAAGGATGACGGTGGATCTGCACCCTCCATCGCAATATTTGTGTGTGTGTGTGTGTGTTTGCACTCACCGGCAGCGGGAAGCTCTGGCGGTCGAGGGCGACGAGCGGGCGCTGCGGCGTGGGGCGCGACGCGAGGTAGAAGGCGGAAGCGGCGGCCACGCCCGTCAGCGCCAGCGCGCCCGCCGGCCCGCCGATGTAGTCCAGGTACTGGTCCATCTCCTCCACTGCAACAAAAGCGGACGTTGGCTTACAACATGCGCAGAATAAGGACGTACTTAGGGTGCTCCCATGGATACGGGCCCTCTTTCCTGGCGCGTCAACGGCTAAGGTCAGTATTCCCATAAGGGTATACCATAAGGGAGATATAACGATCTTCTTTCCAGAGAGATCCGCCGCTGACCTACACGTCGGCACGCGTATTTCCCCATCCAGGTATCTTCCAACAGCGGGGCACAACTCTATAAGCTCCCGATATGTGTGGTAGTGTGGTTTGTGCAAGTATGTGTATAAGTCAGGGGGGAGGGTAGAATAAAGAGGAGGAAGGAAAGACCGCGCGCGGTCCGTGGTCCGTTTGTTAGGGTTCTGGTCCGGCATTCACCTGCTGCCGCACAGAGAAACCACGGAGAACTGCCGACCAGGGCAGTCGGTTAGAATTATCCCTCAGACTGCAGCTAATTTTGACCTGGCTATCTCGCCAATGTCGAAAATGCTGCCAGCGTCGGGTCTCGAACTGTGGAACCTTCCGGTCTGAGGCCCTGCAGTGACATCAGTTGATACCGTGAGCCATCTCAGCCGGTCCAGTCGGCTCTGGACCCAGTGAATTCGTGTATAAGCAATAGAAGATTTGGTTATAGTGAACTCTCAACTTCGATTTTAGTGAAAATTAAGTGCAGGTTCGGGGAGCAAATGTTTCGCTTCAGTGCTGCAAATTCATAAAACACAAAGGGCTTGCAAATGAGTGTCTCGTGAGTCATAAAACATTTTATGATGAAAGGAGGGGATCAAGGGGACCGTGCCAGTGAGGGATACTTCTGCTCGTAAATGGCAGTTCTGTCCAGCCTGAAGACTTCATCAACACGGATCATCAATGGATGAAAAAAGATTTAAATGAGCATTATTAATCCACTGAAAGGATCTTACAGAAAGAAGAATACAAGTGTGATGCAGAAGAAAATACAGGAATTAAGAAAGTACTCTAACATCGCACTAACAGTCATTCAGACTCGACAATATAAAATAAATAGTAAAGAGTACACAAAGAATTGAATTGTTGGTGATCGGATATATTACTGTACCTTTGAAATAATGAAATAAATTATAGTTGAAAAATATTTTTTGGGATTATCAGATATAGTGAACTTCCTAGAGGTCCAGTATTATGGGAGTAAGTTAGATATTCAGTCAGTATTGTCGGAGATAAGTGTGTAAAAATAATGAATACTTATTTTCTGATTAACTATACAAAACATTAAATAAATCTGATTCATATTATAAATAGATAATTAATATGCAATGTCGTACAAAAATGTAGACGAAAATTAATTGAAGTTATATGTCAATGAATGTATGAATGCATATATTGTATTTATAATTCAGATAATTGTTTAAACTGATAATGTTATACTTTTATTTTCAGACATATGTTGATTATTTATTCTCAGTATTAGGGAGCCACATAGTTCGTATGATGCTTAGGGTCCCTTAAGATTTTAATCTAGCCCTGAACACCAGAACGCAAGTACGTTAACATAATCAATTTAATACATTCAACTCAGCCTTAGAATAACAGGGTTCATTCCCACTGAGGAAAATTTCCAAAAGAGCACTTCAGCAGTTTAGAAGTCTGAAATTTAAGCAACATGCTATGTAATTTTGTTCAATGTTACACTAGTCAAATTCGAAAAATGTTTTAATATGTTATATATGTTAAAACTAGTTTAAATAAGCCAAAATATAATTTTCGTCAAAAATGTTAGATTTAAACGCGTGGATTCTCACATTCATATGCCACCTGAGGTCGCCAATTCATGTTTAAATTATGGTAATTAATACAATAGGTGCAATCTTCGTAGTTAAAGCAATTGGGCGAACATATGGAGACTCAAATCGAGGAGTTTTGGTGCAATGAAAGATATTGTATTATTAAGAAATACAATATATTCCTTAATAGAAAAGAAATATAGAAGAAGAAAATGACATTATTAAAGTTTTGAGCACAAAATATAAGTACGCCTCCAATAAACCATTCACGTTATTCGCTAATGACAAACATTTCCTAACAGTACAATATTCTGAAAATCAATGAATGTCTCTTCAAACATGAGCTTGATCCAAATCTTCCAACTCTTGCCTCGCGCTGATTGTAAATCTATAATGAACCGATCCAAATACAAAGGTTCACTTTTTCATGAAACGTCATTTCACGGACAAGCCGTCGGCGGCGGCGGAGGTGCTTGGAGTTTCGTCCACGCGTCTGAACACAACGTCTGCAGGTTCGATCTCCGAGTAAAGCACGGAGTAAGGATTGTTGACTTATCACATGTATGTGTTTGACGTATGTGTATGTGATTGTATCTAGCTTTTAGAGTTTTTTTCTTTCGTCACATAGCTATCAAAATTGAGGTGATTTGTATTAGAAAGCTACAGCTTCATTTTGGCCCTGGCCCGGAACCGCTGAGCCCGGAACCGCCTTACAGAAACCACGTTGCACAACGCAAGCACATTGTTCATGCGTCACCCGAGACCTCACTTGAGTTATCCATTACATATCGCATCTATCCATTATTATTCATATACCATCATTTACTCCTCGTGATTATTCTTCATATTCATGAAGGCAATGCCAAACTACCACTGGTCTGCCCAGGAAAGGGAAAGACCTGAAGGCTCACGCATCTTCACTCGCCTAGACTCCACCCAATAATCACGATTTTGTAAGGCCAGGTCGCATTCGTTTCGCAAGAGAAAGGACTGCAAAGGTCGCTGGGAATCGGGCGGCGGGCGCACTCGTTCCGGGCCTTCCCGACAGAGCGCAGTGCAGGAGAGAAACTTCGCTTACGTTTCACCTCGAGGCCACTTCAGATGATGAACACTATTATTAGTGTCTTTTCCAGACGGTCGCTTACCCAACAGTCTGGAAGGAATGTTTCTGCGCACGCTGGCAGGTTCCTTGCTTTAGGGGTCACCACGAGACAATAGACAAACATGGACGCCCGGGCCAAATTTCTAAATTGCGATGATTGAAACCGACACAAGGTTGCAACACGCTCTAGCCAGTCGATTGCTCAGAGTGGTAATTCCGTAGTTCCCTGCTGCGATTTGAACATAGTTTATTCCAGTAAGATTTTACGCAAAATTAACCAACATTGCTGTACACTTGTTTAGAACTGTTGTTCTACTTTCATGGTGGTAAAATGTAGTTGTTTTGTAACTGTACTCAACAGTTAGTCAAAGAACAGACGTGAAGGTTCAATTTGGTTTCTTTGGTTGCGTAACGAAGCAATTGTAATTACGGAACGCTCTTTCGGAGGTTCCAAATACTATTTACTAGTGGACCCCGCTGGGCTATTGTAATATATTACACTTCACACTTACTGGTCTCGTGATTGTTGATAACGTTTTGCATCTGCAAAAATTGTAATAGATAAAAGACTTTCTCGTGAGATAGGGTTTATTCTACATCCTAATTTGGACATGGTGGCCTAGTATCCTATTATTAAAACGTTCTCCCTTACGTTTGGGCATGCATTCGCTCTGACACTATCTTGGAGAAATTTTATTTACTTGTCCGAGATAACGTTTAGGTAATAATTTCGGCCGATATTTCACAACCGCATGGGCAGAATGTGCAGGTAAGACGCGCTTAATACTTGACTGTGCGGCGGGTTGCGTTGCTCTATGCCTATATTCTTCGCGCAAGTGCAGGCAATAAGTTGATACAGTTTTATCGCAATCGAATGAACGGTACGGCAGCTCATAATATACGACCAAACATTGATTTTTATGAAATAGATTCATTATAGTTCTCTAACTGACAATATAACTTTCCAACACTTTTGAAGAATCTTGTTTTGAAGCTTGCTAGTAAGGAATATTTGAATGCGAGCACATTTGTATCTCTATTATTAGAGTATCTACCAAAGTGAAATCAAGGGGTAAAATAACAAAAGGTTTTTTAAGAATCTCTTGTAGAAGTTGGAATTCACAATCTGAAACAGTTATACTTCAAGAAATAAAACGGATCTCGTCTAACTTCACAGAGTCATAATGTTTGCTTTCACAATTGAAAGCTGACATTGTTTTCTACTGAACTGCACATCCTGTCTTTACTCCGTCTTTGTAATGTCGAAGAGTCATCCACATGTGCGGTTAATCAAGTCTTATTTTACGTCAGAAATTGTTGGCCATAAGTTTTGGATCGAATAAGAAACTGAATTTAGAAGACGAGAAAAATATTGAGATGTTGGCATATCTGACGTGACATTTTTTATGCGTTTTCATTTGAAATTATGTTTTTGAAGCATAAAAATATGAGTTTCCGTAAATGTTGTGAATGCCGAGACTTCAATTTCATGATTGTTTTAGAGTGTAAAAAAATGTGATCGTTTGTGCCATTTCACCTAAGTGTGAAGATTGTTTCGTCATATAATATGTAGAGTGAAGAATACAGCTTAAATAAGCACATTTCTGAAATAATGTTTAGGGATTTTGTGTATTCTAACATTATATGCGAAATACTAGAGAATTTTACGAGATTAGGGCAGATATCATTACAACAGATCATAAGTTATTGTATTATTGTTCAATATCTCGCACATTTGGAAAACAATAGAGTAAGAGAGAAGATTATCAGATGTGCAAATCTAATCCTTAACGAAAAGCCTCATAATTTCATTCTGGGACCCGGTGTCTACTCGTTAAACAAAAATGTTTTAAGCAATAACAGTCCTAAGGGAAAAATAAGATAGGTAATCTGCATTCAAATGAACGGTATCAATATGAAATGGAACGTTCCCCCTCCTGAAGGATCTATACTAAAAAAGTGAATTCAACGACATGTTGCCGACATTGACACCACAACAAATTGTGTATGAATAGATTCGAAATTTTTAAAAGTTCTTCAGGATTATCGCAATGTCCTAGCAAAATTTGGTAAAAATAAATGCAACACAAATGCAGGATATAAATAATTTAAATACTATGTTGGTAAATGCACCACGATCAATATTTTTTGCCTGTTGCTAAGAGAACATTGTTTTCTAATATAATATATTCGCCAGAGGCCAGTAGCGGAGCAGATGAACTGGTTTTATTCTAATACTGTAAAATATTTAAATGAAATAAAATTGTAGTATTTTATTAACATTTGAACCAGTTACAATGGAAGTCTTAAACACAGTGGTTTACATATAAAATTGATCTTTCTCCCCTTTCCCGAGGATTGGATGAAGGAAGTCCGGGACACGCCGGGTATTTTGCTCGCGATTAAATAAGACAGTCAAGCTATAATTCTTTTCTATTTAAACAATTTGCAGAAGACATGCAAAGAGGAAATACATTTCAGAAGAAATGGTATTCAGAGGGAAAATACAAAAATATGAAAAATAAAGACAAAAATAATAAAATAAATGGAAAAGAAGTAAAAAAGACTGAAGACGAAAACACGAAAACGAAATATCAATGACAAATTAGTTATTGCGGAATGGCCTCAAAACGACAATACGAAACAAAAGAAACTCATTTCCACATTTGAAACTGAAATTACAAGGCCTCGTCAGGAAGCGAATTCTCAAGAAGGAAACAAAAACAACAACTGAAATTCTCCCAAAGAGGTACTGTTTCTGTCACTCAAGACCATTAATGGAGTGAGAGTAATAGTAAACAAAATATTTAACTGAGAAGCAGTAAGCGCTCATTTGTAATAAATAACTCTTATAAATAAAACGAAACAGACAGGTACACAAAGGGTTGACTTAATCATTTACACGCTCCAATTTTAACTTAAGAAAACAAAATCTGATTTCTCGCTCCGGGCCAGCGGCCGGCGTCGAGCACGTGCCGCGGCTACGGCAGCGCAGGATGTGGCGGGGGGGGGGGGGGGGGGGCGGTTGCGTCGTAATTCGGCGTCCGGTTCGCGGAGGAAGCCCCGGCGAGGCCGCGCGCGGCGATCGAAACGTGTTCCTGAGTGGGGCGGGCCTTGCGTGGCGCTGGCGGGGGCGCTGGCGGGGGCGCTGGTGGGGCGCTTGGCCGAGAAACTCGGGCGCACACCCGCGCCGTCCCGCCGCACTATCTCCACCGCCGGGCGCCACAGCCACAGCCGCTCCTGCGCGCAGCGGTCATCGACCCCCTCGCCGCCGCCGCTGGCACGGCGTCGTCGCGGCGCGAAACCGCCTTCGCGGCGCCCGGGAGACCCCAGCGACCGGCGTTGCATCCCGACGCCGCCGACGCCTACGTCGCCAGCCTACGTCGCCGCCGCCGCCGCCGCCGCCGTGTCTCTCCCGTCGCAGGGTTGGCGCGAAAGCTCGCCTCTAATTGCTGTGTTAGTAACCTTTGGTTCCCGTTTCGAGCAGCTTTGTCAGCAATTGTGTTGGTGCTTGCGTCACCAACGCGCTCGAAGCCACAGGAGACAAACCGCCAGTAGCGCCGTCGTCCGATTTATTTACATTTCGCCAGGCAGATGGCACAGGTGGATTCTGTGGCACATTGTATATTCATTGCCATTTTACGAATTTCTTGAGAGCCTGACCTCAAATGTAGTATTAATACGATGTGTAAGCACTAGAAATTGACCCTCAACTGTGATTGGGACCGTTCTTGCACAATTCTTGTGTTTTAGAATTCCTGAATGGTGAGATATATCTGACAGATATATTAAGCGACACCAATGGATTCAACTCTCACGTGACAACCGCGAGCAAGGTGCTGAAACCTATCATCACGGCCCAACACACATTAGAATTATACATTGCGTCCATTGTTTTAGACGATCATTCATGAATGCATTTCCTCTTTATAAAATATTATTAGAACACTAAAATTTGCATTTCTGTACGTTTAGAATGTTTCTTTTCGCTTCCAAAACAATTTCAATTCAAATCAATTTGTATCTAATTTTATTTCTATTATAAATATTTCATTAAAATATTAATGTTAAAACGGAGCGCTTTCAATATATCTACCTGGTCGTGGTCTGCCTGCCAACCCAACTACCTGCCAAAGTCGAGTCGGAACAGGTCTGTGAGTATGATTAAAAGTCTTCTCAAGACGCGTACGTAGTTTCAGGTCAGTGCAATTATAGCATTCACAGTGAGTATATGGCTAGTGCTCCGGCGTGTGAGCGCACCTTCTCTTTGACCACAACGCATCGGTGCTAATGCCAGCAAAATCTCAAGCCACCGTCCAAGTCTGCGTGTTCCGGTAGCTCATTCCCTCTTAAAGCCTAATATTTCTCCCGGTTATTTTAAGTTTCGAAGGACGAAAGAGAGAGAGGGCTACGTTTCTCGAACAGTAAAGATGTGAATGAAGCGGCGACAGTCTAGTTTGCACGGCATCCGAAATGTTTTTGTTCCAAAATGTTAACGTCGCTGAAGAAACGTGATCGAAGAGTTTGGTGTCCAAGGACATTATACACCGAAGTGCCCAAACAATTGGTTCAGTAATGCGTATTGAAATAAATAGTTCTGGAACCAATCAGAATATGGTGCTCCAGTCGGCAACGACTATATAAGATAACTAGAGCCTGGAACAGTTATCAATCGGTTACTGTTGCTACAATCACAGATTATCACGATTTAAATGAGGTTGAACGTGGGGTTGTAGCCGGCGCAAGAGCGATGGGGCATAGCGTCTCCGAGGTCGTGATGAAATGCGGATTTTCCCGAACGACCATTTCACTAATGTACCGTGAATACCGGGAATCCGTTACCGTCATCGTTGCGGTCGCAAAAAAGATCGTGCAAGAGCGGGACCGACGACGACTGAGTAGAATCGTTACACGTGACAGAAGGGCAACCCTTCCGGATCTTGCTGCAGATTTCAATGCTGGGGCATCTGAAAATGTTAGCGTGCGAACCATTCAACGAGACATTATTGATATGGGATTTCAGAGCCGAAGGTTCATTCGTGTACCCATGATAACTGCCTGACACAAAGCTTTACGCTTCGCTTGTGCACGTCAACACCGTCATGGACTGTTAATGACTGGAAACATGTTGAGTGGTCTCACGAGTCTCGTTTCATATTGTTTCGAGCGGATGGACGTGTACGAGTTCTTCGAGCGGATGGATGAGTACGAACTTCCCGAATTCATGGACCCTGCATGTCAACAGGGGACTGTGCAAGCTGGTAGAGTTCAATCTGTGATGGTATGGGGCGTGTGCACTTGGAGTGATATGGGACCCTGATACGTCTAGATACGACTCTAACAGGTGATACGTATTACGAAAGCATCCTGTCTGTTCACCAGCACCCATTCATGTCCACTGTGCATCTTGACGGACTTGGGCAATTCCACAGGTCAATGCGGCAGCCCACACGACCAGAATTGCTATAGAGTGAATCCAGAAACACTCTGAAATTAAACACTTCCTCTGCCCACAAAAATCTCGATACAAGAACAATATTAAGTATATCTGGGGTGCCTTGGACGTGCGTTCCGAAGAGATTTCCACCCCCTCATACTCTTAGGAGTTTATATAGTCCTGCAGGATTAATGGTGTCAATTACCTCCAGCACTACTTCAGACATTAGTCGAGGCCATGCCACGTCGTGTTCTGGCACTTCTGTGTGCTCGCTAGGGGCCCTTCACAATTTTAGGCAGGTGTACCAGTTTTTTAGGATTTTCACTGTGTATAACAATAATAAACTCAATCTCTTCTAACTAGTTTTTTTGTGAGTATTCTAAATAGTATTTTTGTGTGTGTTCAATTCCCTGCATCAAGCAACATCCCCAATTCTTCGCATCTCCGATACTATGCTCGTAACGACGCCCGTGAACTCGAAGGCTTTTCCCCAGGCGCCGCCGAGGATGCGCCATCCACCAACGAATGCGCGCGGCGTCTGCGCCCCGCTTCCGCGCGTTTTCTGGGGCGCGTCCCGCGGTCCATTTCCCCGTCAGTTCCTCACGCAGCTCCGCCGGCGCCGTCGCTTCCACGGGGCTTGCGAGCCCCAGCCGCCACAATTTTGCGAGCTGACTGCTCAAGAAACGGGATAAATTGAAAAGGACCGCGACCGGCGTGCTAGTGGATGATTTGCGCGCGGGTTTAAAATGTGACGCTACATTTGCGCGGGTTTTCATCAGTACTATCTACGTTTTGGGTGAACGAAGCAGGGATGAGAAGATAAATGAAAAACCAAAACATTAACTCTATTTCGATAATGGATTCATACGTTTACTACGCCGGTTCCCACTTTCTTCAACAATACAGATATCATATATAGGGTTTGTGTGGAAACATTGAGAATGCATCAATTCAGACACACATAAGACTAAACTGGGTTCTTGAATTCACTTAGGAAGATTGCTGTGGGGTCCATTCATCATATCTGCATTGTATAATGTGTACTTAAAATGCAATGAATTCAGCGTCTACGTTTGTTTCCATCCTTCATACATATGGACGGTAATTCTCCATTTCCTGGTAGCAACAATCTGTCTGCGAGTTGCGCAGTTCGCGTGGTTCATGTGGGTCACACCTTGTTTGCAAGGGATAAGACGTGTTAAAAATAGCCTTCTTTCAGGGCCGAACTTCCTGTTCCCAATAAGTTGATTTTGACTAACAAAGAAGACGAGAACACAAAGAAACCACGGAAAAGACGAAGAAGTGATTGTGGTAATGGGCCTGACGCGAATTGTCGAGATAGAAGATTTCGAAGGTGATGGAAATTGAGAAAGATATGTGAAATTCTGCACGCATAACTGGTGGTGTTGACATAGTCCAGATCGTAAATTTGAAGTAAGAAAAACTCATTACATTCAGAACACTGTTTAAGTGAATTAGGGTGTTGGTATGATGTAGACACGAAGGCACAGATGTTGAGTTTCTAGAAAGACTGCCACAGAATTCTTCGGCACTTCAACGTTTTGCGTTTAGCGCTGCAGTCATATGTTAAAGAACTAACCCGCGCTGAGCGGTATTTGAACCCATTTTTAACAATTGAACTAATTTCTAATTGAACAATTGTCTTCATGATCTCTTTTAAGACATCTGAACGGACGGACGACAAAATTTCATACAGAGCAGTATTGAGATATTGTAGTATTCTCCATAGTTGTGAACACTAAACGGCTTTAGGTAATTGAGAAAATGAAACAAAAATAAACGGTTGATCCGAATCCCCAAATTAGTATTAGGTTAATAATTAGTAGCTTCATTTTAATTTTTAACAGTCTCTAACTTTATGTTTTCCCATTCACATAGATTTGCTGAATAAAAACTGAATTGATATATTTTATTGAAATCTAGTAAAGAATTCATTTCCTTGATTTCGCTTTTGTATTTTACTTTCTTTTGCAGGGCCGTCTGGAGACCCTTGAGTCCAAGCCTCGAAATACCGTATCTTTACCAGTATTTAGTTGCTCGGGCTATAAACAGTGTCGGATATAAACATAGTAGAGCCTCGTGTTAAGAATATTGTGATAGTACGTGTAAAATAAAAAAAATGATTGCTATGAAGTCTGCAGTAAGATCGAATTACGCATTCTAGATTTATGTAAATTCTCTCCATAACACCAAAGAGAATTACAGCCTACATGTAGAATCTTGTGGATCATCTAGAGACATTTCTAAAAGTATTCCGATTTAAGGAGCTGATCTTGGACCTTAGTCGCAGATACTGCTTACCCCTTGCTTTGCAAATCCTAGGGTTCCGAGTGTTCGTCGTATCTTCACTTAAATCCCACTGATGCGAATCCTCGGCGCGTTCGCACTGCATTGGTGATTTCTAAGTTACGGATCATAGAAGAAAAAACAATGAGAACGTTATTAGCCTACAACACACGTCTAAGCAAGCTTTATAACAAGTTCAAATGGTATAATAATAAACACGACATACGCATTGTTCGCCCTCGATTTTCTGCTGGATGGCGTCGTCTGCTCTTTACAAACGGAAGGAGCCTAAAATCGAACTCTCGTTTCCCGCGTGGCCAGTCGAGCTGCAGCCATTGAACTATCGTAATGTTATTCAGAAGGCGTTCATTTAGTTTATAGCAACATATGATTCACCATTTAGTAGCTTAATAATCTGTAACAACGTGACATTACACAACAATGGACGTGACAGCCATTGGCAATTGTGTAGGCGCCGTGTGCGCATCCTGTCGCGGGGCGAGCGCCGTGCGCGGGCCGCGGGGCGTGCGGTGGGTCGCGAGTCGAGCGAGGAGCGTGCGGACGTGACTGCGACGCACGTGCCCAGCCCCTCCCCAGCCGGTCA